TTCTGTAATTTAAACGGCCCTTAGAGGAGCTGATGACATGTTTTAAGACAGGTACTTTCATCATGAGCTCAGCCTCTTTTTCTTTTTTAAATATATTTTTATTGATTTCAGAGAGGGAGAAAGACAAAAGCATCAACGATGAGAATCTCCCTCCTGCAACACATGGGCATGTGCCCTAACCTGGAATTGAACCATGACCTCCTGGTTCATTGGTTGATATTTAGCCACTGAGCCATACTGGCCAGGCTTTTTTTTTTTTTCTTTTTATGCGCTTAAATTGTCTGCATCAAACTATACTTTATCATGATACTAGAGGCCCAGTGCAACAGTGCACCAATTCGTGCATGGGTGGGGTCCAGCCAGCATGGCCCCAATTGGGGCAGATCAGGGCAAGGCTTGTCAGGAGCGGGAGGTTGGCCAGCCGGCCCACCCTGATCGGGGCCTGTTTACTGAATTTATGTATTGTTGGGTAATTACCTCTTTTATAAAATAACTTTGGCTGGCTGCCCTGCCCTTGATTGGGGTTGGAGAGGCCAATGGGGCAGGGCCAGCTAGGGGGGAGGGGCCGTGGGAGATTGGCCGGCTGGCCCCTTCCCCCCATTGGGCTGGTTGGCTGGCTGCAGTGGGTGTCAGAGCGACTGGTCGTTTTAGTCGTTAGGGCCTTCTGATCACTGGTTTTTTGTGTTTTTTTTTGTTGTTTTTGGTCACTGGTTTTTTATGTATATAGATCCTCATCTTTTCTCAAATGGCCCCACAAAAAAACAGTAGTAATTTCTCTTTTGTATTTGGTGTTAAATGTGTTTGAATGTCTTTTATAATTATTTGATGTACCCTATTTAATGCCTGAAGTAAAAAAATTTATGATTAACAGTAAAAATGATTGTTTCAAAATGTTAACCTGGGGTATCAAAAGGGTCAGTATTAACCATTACTCTCAATAAACTGTTAATCCTTATGGTTAATATATTTATCTCTTCCTATCTTGTCAATACTTTTTTTAACTTTTGATGCCAGTTTACTGAATTTATGTATTGTTTGGTAATTACCTCTTTTATAAAATAATTAGAATATAAGAAAATAGTAAGTACTAAAATAGGACTGAAATTTTATAACATAGGAAGTGTTAATATTTACTTGTTAGATTTATTATCTATTAATGTTACTTACTATTAATGTTTTTATCAAATCCATCTCTGCCCTCCCTGACTCCCACCATTTGTAAGGGATGTAGGAAAGAGATTTATTTCAAGGGTATTGGAATTGGGGGTAGAAATATGTAGCGAGGATAATCTGAGAACATCTTACACTGAAATTACTGACAAGAAGCAAAAGTGATTTCATGTTTTATCTTTCTGTGTTCACCTTCCTAATCCTGTAATGGCATAAATGGAGAAATTACAATAATTTAGCATTTAGGAATAGAAAGAGCTTGGATAATTAATCCCTGAAAAACTAAAAATAACTTATGTGGTTTGGGGTTCAAAGCAGTTAACTTCCTTTAAAGAGGTTATAATTTATCATTTTCTTAAAATGTTAAGCAGTTGTATTGCAATAGCCATATTCAGTCCATGAATTGGGTACAATTAACCAGGTGATTGCTAGAACTGCTGTATACTATCCAGGAATTCCCGGCCAGCCACAGAACCCAGAATCCTCTCTATTGATATCTAAGCCACAATAGATAATCACCGCAGATAGTGATTAATTGCATCTAGAACAGGGGTAGGGTGAGAATTGTTCCTCCATACCCCCAAAACTCCTAACTGGCTAGCTGTGTAATCTCCAGTCATTTCTTTAACTCAGAATAATGTGACCTCCTTATTTTGCATTGATGAATATTTTGGAGCCTAGTTATTGCATTATGGAGGTAGTCTTACTGTACCAATCAATACTCAAGGCTGAATAAGGAATCTTTTCTTAGTTCTTATTGGCATGTAGTATGAGAAAATAATGCATTTTGGTTAAGACCCAGAAAGAAAGCTGTTTTATATTGAGTATATTTATATGCACTTTTAATGTGTGTTTTTTTAATTTTACAGTTACTTTCTATGATGTGTATATTATTCTCCAAGCTTTTGTACTGACTACTGCAGTATTTCTTGGTTTGACTATATATACTCTACAATCTAAGAAAGATTTCAGCAAATTTGGAGCAGGGTAAGTAATATATTCATGACTATGATAGATATCTTTAATATTATAGTTTTGAGAGAAGTGCTATACTGTTAGTTTTGAATACTGCCTTTTTAAGTGGAGCACAATGAAAGGTCATCTCTTTGAGTTATAGGATCCTACTCTCCCAGAACAGGGCATGGAAACTGGCTTTGAGTCATTTCCTTCCCTTCTATGTTGAAAAGGAAGTGAATTCTAAAATAAATTAGCTTTCTAGAGAGTAGGCTTCTGTGCTTTATGAATGGTATGGAATTTGCCTAAATTATTTAGGTTTTTGTCTTAACATAAATGTTACCAAAACCTTGGTGAAAGCAAGATTTTGGAGATGGCTGCATGAACCTTAAAGCCTTTTTGATCCATTTGATTAACCTCTATCCTTCTTCAAACTAATAGATATATGGGAATGATCCTTTTTATTAGGATAATAGTACTGTGTTGCCCTCACCAGGTTAAGAATGAATAGACTCTTTTTTTCTAAAATTACTCTGGCTTCCTGTTGGCACAAATAATCACCCAACCATTTTCTGTTCTTTTTCCTCTTACAACACTAAAAGTTTACAAGACCGTACTCTTGTAATCCCCCCCCCCACCTCCTTTATTCCCCTGGTAATCCAGATTATCAGAAATCTGTTGGGATAAAATATAGCTGGTTAGACAACACTCATAATTGTGCAAGATGAATAGTTTTATTAAAATGGAGTTTGATTTAGGGAAACGTAACATGTTCTTTTTTTTATTCTTATTTTTTGGGGAAAGGGAGTTTCATGCATTTATATATATGTAATGAAAGGTTTGCTCTCTTTTTTCTGTTCTGAACTCTAATTGCTCCCCTCCTTCCCATCCATTCTACTATAGTCTCTAGAACTCCTGGTAAATAATCTTCCCTATATTTCAGCCTCTTCATAACATCTTCTTTCTTCTTCTTTATCTCAGCTGAAACATGATTCCTCCCTGAGAATTGTTCTCTAGCCTCTCATTCCCCCACACCCTATATAGCTTGGGGTGGGGGTGGGAGTTACTATTAAAAACTGCTTTAGTCTCCTGGTGCCACTTTTCATTATTCCTTCAGCATAATAGAAATTCATTGCATTAAGGCTTATGCTTTCTGATGATACACATCCTACCCTTCCTCATTACTATCATTGATCCCCTTTTTGGTCAAGCCGCCTCATTCTTTGAAGACTGTAGCATCAAACTACATGTTAGGCCCATCCATCACCTTTGCCTCTCAATATCTCTGGACCTCTTCTACTGCAGCAACTTCCATTCCCTGCCATGGCCTCTTTGTGGACCTTGCAATCACTAGGGATTATTCCATTGCTGAAATCTTAAATGCCAAACGTCATACTTTTTCTTCAACCTTGTCCTTCTAACTCTCTAATTTCTTTACTCCCACAACACCTATCTACTATGCCAGTTCTTCAGCTACTGTTATTGTTGTAATAAAGTGTCCTTCATCTCAGACCTAGGAGTCCCTTGTGTTCTACTAGCATCCACAAAATTGTGCTAGGGTAACTTACTTGCTTGTAAAGTAAGGTAAATCTCACATGCTCTATAGTTCTTAATCCCAACTTCCCATATTCTTGGTGCAGAAACTTTGGCGTTTCCCCAGGGTTTGGGTATGAAAAGACAAGTCCTGAGTCCTTTTCAGTCCTGAAGGATCTATACAATGAGGTGGTGAGATACTTCATTCTAACTAAATATGCCAGATGTAGCCTGAGCTTTATGGCCGTTCCAGCAAGATAACTGAGGGCTGGAAGCTCACCATATCCTCAGTTCACTACACTGTATTATAATATAAATGTGTATTTAATTTCTGATTTAATTCTGTTGGGCTATGTGTGCTTCCTGTGCATTTCAATTGAAAATCTAAAAATTGACACTCTTAACTAGTGTTATGCACCATATAAACAAATGTTGAATAAATAGCTTTTCTTTCAATTTCTGGATATTCTACATTATTCATTGTATGTTTATGAATTCTTACATTTAAACTATTCTTTGACAAATAGCAGGATGGATTTATTTCTTCAGAATATGTTGAATGGGTTTACAAAGTTTTTTGTAAGGAACAATATTTATTCTAAATTATTAATATTTTATTTCCATAGACTGTTTGCTGTTTTGTGGATTTTGTTCTTGTCAGGAATCTTGAGGGTGAGTTATTTTAGAATGATAACTTGAAATATAATTCTGGCCATGTCAATATAAATACTGCACTCTCAAAAAAGCTGTCAGAGGCATAATCTTAAGATAGGATACTTCATTATAATTATCTGAAACATTTGTATAGAGTGGTTATAAAATTATCTCTTGAAAAATCAAGGTCTTATGTTAATCAGTATTATTGATAGAAAGAAAGATGAACAAATGAGTTTTAAAGGCCCTCATTTGTAATTGCTAACCCCCAGGTGGCACATACCATTATGAAAAAAATTTTTTAGTAGTTTATATTTGGGATGCTACTGTTCATAGTCAGTGGGTTATCTAGTAGGGGGATATCCATTGATTCAACCAATCACTCTTTCATCTATCAGAAGCCAGGGTGGACCTACTTTGCCTTTTTCTACTTTTAACATTTGTATTCAAAGTTGTACAGCATTATTAAATATATAGGGATGTAGTATATGTAACTTAAGAGCAAGTAATTTCAGTATGCTTAATACTGTTCTTACTTATTACTTTAATGTTTTGCCTACAGTTATTTTTTTATAGTGAGACAGTAGAGTTGGTTGTGGCTGCTGTAGGCGCGCTTCTTTTCTGTGGATTCATCATCTATGACACACATTCACTGATGCACAGGCTATCACCTGAGGAGTATGTATTAGCTGCCATCAATCTCTACTTGGATATCATCAATCTATTCTTGCACTTGTTGCGACTTTTGGAAGCAGCTAAAAAGTGACTGAAAACAGGATATGTAAAATGATTAATAAAGTTTGAAACAACTATCAATTATTACTTTATTTGTATGCCATGTACTTCTGAGCTATTACTATACTATAATATAGCAGGTTCTTAATATTTTGTTCAGTGTGAAAAAAAATCCATTCCCAGGAAGGGCCACTGTTGGTGTGTAGTTTGCAAGTTCTCCCCATGTCTGCATGGGCTCTCTCTGGATACCCTGGTTTCCTTCCATATCCCAAAGATGAACTGGCACGTCTAAACTGTCCCAGTCAGAGTGAGTGAGGGTATGTGTGCCTCCTGTGATGTGATAGCATCCTGTCCAGGGTTGGTTTCTGCCTTGAGCTGCCTGGTTTTTTTTATTTTATTTAGAAAGGAAAAATTTTAAAAGATAAATTCCAGAGAATTATTCAGAATTGTATTAAAGTGTTAATGATGTTTCATCATAAAATGTATTAAAAATTAATCTGCTTGAAAGTCAGATATTGTGACATAAAATTTGACATTTGTTTAAAGTGCAGTTTCATTTTAAAATTATAACTGTAAACTAGTGGCCAGTGAAACTTTGGCAAGTTTCCTCACTGTAATACTTTATTGAGATGCCATAACGAAGTATTACAGCCTGGGTAGCTTAATCAGAAATGTATTTTCTCACAGTTCTGAAGGCTAGAAGTCCACGATCAGGGTGTTGGTGGGATTTGTTTCTCTGAGGCCTCGCTTTTGGCGTGTCATATTCTCCGTTTTCACGTGGTCTTTCACTATACTTGTCTGTGTGAATCTGAGGCCTCGCTTTTGGCGTGTCATATTCTCCCTGTTTTCACGTGGTCTTTCACTATATTTGTGTGAAA